CTGTTCGTGGATAGACGAGGGCCCTGACTGAACTGCATACGGCCGAGTTTCAACTGCAATTGAAACTCGGGCCGAGTCTCAACTGCAATTGAAACTCGGGCCCTGACGAAACTGCTAAAACGCAGTTTCGAATGCAATTACAAACTGTTTTGGTGACTGCGCCAAAGTTACCCCTTTTTTTTTTTTTTTGCTCTGATCTATCCGTGGGGAGCAGCACGTGCTGGGAACCGGGCCCAGCGTCCCTTACGAATGTACATCATTTGGAACATGAAAACGTCAGGGCATGACCACCGGTGGCTCTCCTTCCTATCCTGTTACCTCATTTATGAAGAGGAGAAGATTGAAGAATACTTCAAAATCAAAGCTAAAGATCCAAACAAGACCCAGAAATGAAAAACTCCAATATTTTTTATTCTTCGAAGGGCCCAGTGCCCAAGGCTTGTATTTCCAATGAGACAATTGAGGCCGGGGTCCTCACAGTCTACCCGGAGTCATAAGCGGTTAACAGAGACCCCCACTTTTCAGCCCCAGTTACCCCTCTCAACCCTGAACAGAGCATTGGAGATCATTTTTTTAAGAGTAGCAAATGAAGTCGCGATGATGATGAACTTGTAGGATCTACCTCTTCACCCTTGGCAGGGCGCCAAATCTTCTGGCTCCTTTGTCCCTAGCTTTTGATAGTGGCACAAGAAACTTTTTAAGTTTTAGCCTAAACTGGAATACCCGATTACCCAAAAGGAAACAAGATGACCGCCTCTGGCACGAGAAGGACCCTCAGACATACAAAACAGGCACTTCTGGGGGGGGGGAGGGCCTCCTCAAAACATCAGAAAATGTTGTGGAGTCTAAGTTGCATAAGCCTTTAGTTTAGGCCCTTTTAGGGTTTTGGAGAGTAGCAAGAATTTCATGGAAAGTGCAACGAATCAGAGTTGTGGTAGGCTCGGACTGGTGCCCCCTGGAATATAAAGGTCTTTTCTGTTGTCACAAAAAAAAATTAAAGAAAAGAAAGACAACTATTATATAACATTTGGGCACAGGGACTAGGCCATCAAGGAATCTCGGTCCTAATGCTACCTGCTGACCCCTGGCCGGTATCACCCACCTGCAGGTCGGGCGCAGCCCCCACATGTTCCCTCGTTGGAGGCTTGAACTTGGGCTGGCTGCTACGGGGTTCCCCCCGTAATAACACTATAATGATAAATAAATGGGGAAACTAGGCAGTCACAAAAATGAGTTTTAATTGCACTATGGGGCTCGTTCGACACTCCTTGGGGCGTCCTCGGGGCTGAAGGACGTTTCCTTGGGGGGTTTCAAGGAAATTCCCGCCATGGTTCCACCTGCCCTCCGGGACGTCGCCCGAGGACATTTCCTTCGAACGATGTCAGACAAGAAAAAAGAAAAGAAAAGAAAAAAACAAATGTGTTTGAGGCCTTCAGCCAATAGGGTGCCGCCACGATCCAGATTCTCGGTTGTAACGTCTCTCTACCCATGTGTCCGCTCCTCTCTGTGAAACGCGGATTCCGTTTGCCCATGGGACCTCGTGAGGTCCCTTGGGCAAAAGGAAGAAATGGCTGGGGAATCCTCGGAGCGCAAGGAATTTCCTTCGGAGTGTTTTCACTTTTTTTTTTTTCCGACGGCATCCCCGAGGATAGGTGGAACGAACAATTCCTCGGGGACTTTACGCGCCCAAGGAGTGTTGAACGAGCCCCTATGGGCCAAAATACAGTTTCGAATTGCAATTCGGGCAATGTATACAACCCAGCTTTCTGGCCAGGTAGGGTGCCCTAAGTGCAATAATTGCAAACTGTATCTTCCCCCATAGTGCAATTATAACTGGTTTTTGTGACTCTACTGAAGTTACCCCCCGTGGGGCTAGGACCCACTAGCCAAGTCTTTTACGCTGTGTGAGGCATTTTCGCCCTTTTTTATTGCTTTTTAATAGTTTCTCGGATTAAAAAGCATCCGATAATGGCAATTTTTTTTCCTTGAAAAAAAAGGTCTGTATGCCGTGCCCCTGGATCCACGGCGTGCTCCCTCAAAATTCGTATCAGGTATGATTGCTTCGGTACCTCGCATGTTCGTCCCCTCTCACACCGAACTCAGTGTTCGGTCCATCGACCTGGACCCCACGTACGGCTATATTCGTCAACGTGCCTCCCTTCTCCACCAGAGGGAATCGGGCACGAGTGGAAACACACAGTTTCCATTTCGGGTTGTTGGCCTTCTGCGGCTGTGGAACATGGCACTTGCGCTCGAAATCTGGTTGGGCCGATGTGGGCTTCAGACGTTGGGCTGGCGGTTGGGCAAGTCATCTTCATTATGTGTGCAGCGGATTGATGAACGTATCCTTCGTCACATGTGTGCTCCTCGCTAGCAACTTCCGAAGTAGGCGAGTGCCTCCCTTGGGTTCATCAACATACAGCTATTGGGGTGGGGGGGGGGGGGGGGGGGGGGGGGGGGGGGGGGGGGGGGGGGGGGGGGGGGGGGGGGGGTGTTTTGTTGCTGGCCGAACGAGGGGAAAAAAAGCAAACCATAAGCCATTTGAGTCGGTCTGGTGCCTGTCGTGGTGTGTACCAATGCTGAGGCTCAGGAGGAGAGAACGGGAGAGAGTGGTTGTGGCCGCCATGGCCATAGAAGGCCGCATGGCAGAAGACGCCATGGCCATGGTGGATGTCATCCTTGGTCATTCAACGAACAATTTGCTTGCTTCAGTTCCTGCATCTCAGGCGTGGCATGGTGGGGCCCATGAAGATGAGGATGATGGCAGGCCCGGCAAGCACAGTCTCATGTGGTTGTGGCCTGCATTGTGGACATGCTCAATCTCCTGCCCAGAGCCTTGCCAAGGTGGTGGGTGATGCGTCAAAGTGGTGGGCTTTGGAAGGATCTGCTTCCCGAAGACGACGCAGAGAATGACCATTACATTTCTCTCCTCCGGATGCGTCGGTCCACGTTCAACAGGTTGGTGTGGAAGGTCGGCCCGCTTCTAGAGAAGCAGGTCACAAGGTTCCGTGTGCCGTTGCAACCTGCACAAAAATTGGCATATGTCATCCACAGGTGGGCCCACGGTGATCATCACTTGTACAGCTGTTCCGCTTACGGTCTAGGAAAAACAAGCGGTTTGTGCGCCATCCGCGAGGTCGCGGAGGCGATCATTGATTCATACCCGAATGCAGTGGGTTTCGGGGGGCATGCTGAACGCCATGCTCGCATGCAGACGTTCGAGAGACTGGGTTTCCCTAATTGCTGGGGGTGTATTGACTGCACTCACGTGTACGTCGACAAACCCAAGACAAGAGATGGAGATGAGTACTGTTCCGGGGAGAAACAATTGATTCTCCGTGGTCGCGCAACTGGTCGTCAACCATGACTTGAAGATTCTTGATTTTTGCCATGGCTTGCCCGGGACCATTGGCGATGGCCGTGTGCTCAAGCACTCTTCCTTGTACCGTAGAGCATTGAAGAGGACATTGTTCTTAGATAAGGATGATGACCCTTTCCGCTGTGAGCGCCCCGTCATACCCGGTGTGCCTGGGGGTTACTTGTTGGGTGATCAAGGTTATCCCAGTCTCCCATGGCTGGTGGTGCCGTACGACGTGGGGGGCAACGTCACAGCGGATATGCACTTATTTGACTCACTCTACAAAATTGTGAGATCGGCGGTGGAGCGTTTTTTTTTGCATTTTTAAGATGCGGTTCCAGTTCTTTTACCGTCTGCATGTTGCTAACAGCGAGAGAGAGGGGCTGGAGTTCCACGCGTGTTGTATATTACACAATCTGCTTCAGGAGTTGGGCGACCTACCCCAAGATGACGATGAGGCGTCAGATGCGTCTTCCCCGGATTTCCCCCCACCGCCGGTGGATAGGTGAGGCGACGGCACCCCGCTTCAGACCATGTTTGGCAGGGAGCGCGTCCAGGCCATGAGAGACGCACTGTGTGGCGAGGTCGTTCGACTTTTTGGACTGCGACATTGAGACCATAGTTGCACTTCGCGCACTTACATTAGGTAACGGACTACTAGCGGGTTTGAGTGGTGATTACTATTACCGTGTGGAGAGTTGCACTTCGGACACTTACCGTGATGGCGACGAATGATGGGCATCGAGACTACGTCTCGGAGAGGCATGCATTGGTCCAAGATTTGGAGAAGATGGAGCGAGAGGTGGAGTTTCTGCACGAGTTCTTGGTGGCTAGGGGTGATAGCATTACAGTGCGGATGCGGTGCGGGAGAGAGGTGTGCGAGACAGATGTGTCACAGGAGAACATCCACGCACACAGATGGGCGGGCTCCGTTGTGAAACGTCTCTGTGCTTCACGGTCGAGCCTCGTGCAATGCGGCGACCACCTGGTTGTCCGGCACATGCGTATGAGCCGTGAGTTGGGGAGGTGGAGGAGGATGTGGGAAGACAGCCGAGCGCTACAAGAGAATGCATCAGCGGTCGAGCGGGAGGCAATTCAGCAAAGGGATGTCGCCATGCGTGAGAGGGACGCTGCCATGCGTGAGAGAGATGACACTTGGAGGAGGTTGGAGGCTGCGGAAGCTGATGTGCGCATCACCCGGCAGCAAGCAGACACGGCATGGCGATTCGTCGAAGAAGTCACACATGGGGGAGGTGGAGTGGTTGACGGGGAGCACGACGTGTAGAAATGCAAAATCTATCCATTGCGGCGAAGGGGAAGGCATTGGTTGTCGACGATTGTGCAGATGACGGGTTTGGCGGTTGCAGTGCACAGGGGTCAAGGTGCCAGTCGTGCGATGCTATGGTGTTTCGTCTCAAGCACTTGGAGGGGGAGATGGTGCGCCTACAAATGACGAACGAGATCCTCTAATACCCCGCTTCGTTCTGGAATGAGTGGGACAAGGAGATGCAGTCTTTTGTGGTGCCTGACAAATTCCCTCCACCGCCTGGCAAGCGTAAGTCTCTCTGATTCAAAAGAGAGAGAGAGAGAGAGAGAGAGAGAAAGAAAGAGATGTGGACCGCCTTTTGTGCGGAGAAATGGAACAACGCCTTAGAGGCAGCAACATGTGTCCTTGAAAACGTATTCTTGTGCGCTGCGACCTAAGCTAGTCGTCGTGCTGTCTCATCTGCTATTCGCCATCATCAATGGTCGGTTTTTTTTTCTTTTTTTTTTCTTTTTCTTTTTTTTTGGTAGACGTACATGTGAATGCATTTGTGTCAACCATATGTTGGTGTGTGCATGTGTGTGCATGTGTGTGCAATCTCTGAACTTTGCACTTTTTTTCAATGGCATATGCATGTCAATGGCTTTTTTCAATGGCATTTTTTCAATGGCATTTTTTCAATGGCATTTTTTCAATGGCGTATGTTTTTCAATGACTTTTTTTCAATGGCATATTTATTTGAATGGCATATGTTTTTCAATGGTTTCTTTCCAATGACATGTATGTGGATTCATCATTCACGAACGTCATTTCGCCCGTCACCCATTTGATGGGGTGAGCAAGGGCCCATTCAACACTGTTGGACGGAATGGGGTGTGGACTCACAAACGTATTGTTGGCCCATCACCCATTCCATCTATCAGGAGCTTAATCCAATGTTGTCACTCGCAGATGGGCGAAAGGCGATCTGGCCGTGCATGCAGCCCATGTCAATAGCCAATACTTTTGGATCGAATGACGTGCATGCAACGACCGTGATTTCGACCATCACCCATCCAATGGGGTGAATATCCAATCTTATCATCTGCTGTTGCGGCGAAGGCCGATCAAGGCGTGCATGCAACACTACTTTATGGCTCGGACTTACATAATCGAATGGCCCATCCGATGGGGTGAGCAACGACCCATTCGATCTATGATGGAATATCCAATCTTGTCATATGCAGTTCGGCGAACACTCGCATAGTCCCACAGAGTGTGGATTGACGAACACTCACATAGTCCCACAGAGTGTGGATTGACGAACACTCACATAGTCCCACAGAGTGTGGATTGACAAACGCTTCATGACCAACACTCACATAGTACCACAGAGTGTGGATTGACGAACGTCATTTCGCCCATGACCTATTGAATGGGGTGAATATCGAATCTTGTCATCTGCAGTTTGGCGAAAGCCGATCTGGCCGTGCATGCGGCAGTACTTCATGGCCAACACTCACATAGTCCCACAGAGTGTGGATTGACGAACGTCATTCCGCCCAGGACCTATTGAATGGGGTGAATATCGAATCTTGTCATCTGCAG